TACTGTAATTGAAAAACATAACTATCTAATAAAACGTTCCCCGGCCAAAGAGGTCACCTTAATACCGAAAAAAAAAATAAAATAAAATAAATTATGTAATTAATGTTGATCAATTGTACAAATGTATCACAATATAAATCGCTTTTTATACAGCTATAGTATTTTATTTTTTTCTTCTTGGTACAAATGAATAATTTACCTTTTCTTTATAATGATGATTTTGACTCACCTTTACTTTATACTGACGATGCTTCTAACCTACCTCTTCTTTCTATTAATGACAGTTTTAATACACACCTTTTTCATAATAGTGACACTTCTAACTCTCTTTTGCTTTACACCAATGATGCTTACAATTTACCTTTGTTTCAGGATAATGCTAATTCCAGATTTACAGATAATATAATGACTTCTAAGAATAATTTGGATAACTTTAATAAAAAACTGAACTTAGAGAATACTTACAATAATTCTGACAAAGAACAACAAAATTAAGAGAATACTTTTGACGATTTCAACAAAAAAAATGATTTTGATTTTGAGGATGATAATTTTGAGGACGAAGCTGAATATACAGGACCTACATATTTGCTAACTGTGAATCAGGCTTTTCGAACTTAGAAAGAAGTTAATGAGTATGTATACTTTTTTTTTATTACATATGGAAAAGTTTAAGGTATACTTTTTTTTATTATACATGGAAAAGTTTTAATATAGATTGTTTAATATATATCTACTTTTAGAAGGTTAGAAAATTATAGTAAAGAGAAGGGTTTCGCTTTTTGCATAACCCATAGCGAAAATGATAAGGTAGATAATGAACCTTGGCGTCAGGTATATACGTGCACAAAGGGACAAGCGTATGTGCTATGCAAAGAAGCTCATACTTTTGGTAAAAGAGATCAAGACTACAAATCAGTAGAGTGCTCTTATCATATAAATGTATACTGGTGAAAAAATGACAATTAAATTTGTATTTCTAATATTATTAGCACACACAATCATGAGATGATCCCAAATGTTACAATGGCTAAATCAAGGTATCACCAGCTAACTAAAGAAATGCAAGATGATGTTAGATTATTTGCTTCTTGTAGTGTTTGGGCTGGTGCAATTATTGAGGTTCTATAGCAAAAATATCTCAAGAAATATGTTCATCCCTGTAATGTATACAACATAATACAAACTATTCATTATGAAAAGCATGTTGCAGGTGATGTGGATAGTACCTATTTGGAATTAATTAAAAACAGTGTAATGAACCTGGTTATTATGTTAATGCAAAGTTTGAAGAGACTGACAATCATTTAGTTGGACTTATGTGGATGTGGCCAAGTCAGATTCAATTATAGGGCAGATTCTATGATGTAGTTCTTATAGATATGACCTTCAAGACAAATAACTATTCAATGATACTTTGTATATTAATAGTTGTTGATAATCACAATTGCTTCCATTAGTAGCAACTGCTATAATATCGAATTAGAGTTAATACCTCAATCCAGATATATTTTTTATATCTGGATTAATCCGGTTTTATTATAGTATAAATCCAGATATAAATTTAAATCTGGATATATTTAAATCCGGATATAAAATCATTATGTCACGTTATATCACATGACATAGTATATATCCGGATATATTAATCCGGATAGAGGTATTAACTTTATATTAGATGAGACAAGTAATACTTTTTCATAGATTCTTAACAATTTACTTGAAGCATCAAACATTCTGGCTCCAAAAGTATTATTCACAGATGCTGATTGTGCGATGGTTGCTGCAATAAGTAAAACATTACCAAACACAAAGCATCATTTTTGTCTTTATCATATTTAAAAAAATCTTGAGAAGCATTTTTTAAGTAAGTATAAAGAAGAGAAATGATGAGAATTTTTTAAAGAGTTTTGTCATGTACAAAATAGCTGTGTGGAGATGATATTTGAGGAATGTTAGACAGGTTTGTTGCAAAAGTATCTCGATTTCAGATCATATTTAGAGAGGCAGCTTTATCCTTGTAGAGAATTGTGAATGCTTTGTTTTACACACAGGTCATTCAATACAGACGTTCAAACTACGCAGAGAGTTGAGTCTTATAATGGAATTATTAAAAAACATGTTAATGGATCATCATCTTTATTTGAATTGAGTAATACTATTGAAAGATTACTGCTTAAAGAGGACCGGTATCAATGTTTTAATGAAGTTGCAGGTATATTACCTGAAACCTACAATGAGGATTATTATAACAGATGCTTTGATTTGATTAATAAATCATACTAAAAGTTTTTAACAATAACAATACTTAAAATTCAATGCTGTGAAATGAATTTTAGCATCTACTATTGTGTGTAGTTAATTAATTTAGCAAATGGACTTCAAAATCAGATATGTTATAAAAAATTCTCATATAATAACAAAAAATAGATAAGATTTTTAATTAATATTTGTGAAGCTTAACAATCTTATTTGGTTAAGATTCGAGTTTTTTTTTGTTGTTTTTTTTTTTTATAACAATTTTATAGTTAGAATATTGAAATCTATAAGTGAAAAGAACGAATTCATATATTTAAACTTAATAACCTTTCTCTAATAGGTAACAAATGAGATATCAGCTGGAATGTTTGCTGATGATATGTTTGATGCATTTGTCATTGAACTTGAAGAACTAGTGTGTGATTTGGATCATACATGCATTCGTGAGATCTAGAGAGTTTCATCAATTGATATGAAAAGTTAACATTACATAGTACTCTATAATAAAGCTGCTCATTTATGTACTTGCTTAACGTTGATTAACTATAGAATTGTTTGTAAACATTACTTTGTAATAATGCTGGTTTCAAAAGTTGCTAGGTTTCATGTTGGGCTTATATCGCATAGGTGGTATTTAGATAAGGTTGTTTGTAATGAAGAAATAAATATTACTAACGAGCCAGCAGTTTTAATAATAAATAATAAGAATTTTGAATCATTTGAGCATAGCATTCAAGTTAATTTTGAACATTTTGACAATATTTGAAGTAGTTATGTTTTTACTCATAAGGTTCGCAAGGAGATGTTATTTAAGCAAAAGATTTGGTATTATGAAAAAAACTCTTGATTTGGTGATTGCAATAGAACATTATGATGAATTATGTGAATTGCATCTTAACCTAGAAATGGAAATTTTAACATATGATTCTTGTGATATAAGAGATGATAATATTGATCAGTTAGCACTTTTAATTAGCAATCCGGTTGGTGTTCGTTCAAAGGGTCAGAGACAAAAAGATACAAAAGAAGCATCTATCAATGTAAATAAAGTGTCAGGAATAGGTAATGAATGTTAAAGTAAATTGTATAAGTTTTTTAAAGCTCAAATATAATTGACTAACTTTATATATATAAACTAAGAATTGATAAAAATTCTGCTAGCCAAGAGAAGGTATTTCATCATTACAGTATTTGTGGTCAAGTGAGGTTTAATGTTTAAATATGTAATTTTTATATCTAAAACAATCAGATGGTTAGTACAAGTAATGAAAGTAATAATCAAAATAATCGATCATTACCAACTACAAGGCAAAATGTTAAAATTTTAAACTTAGCAAATATGGGTAAGAAAAAGTTTATATTATCAAGTAGAATAGTAATACTGATACTAATTATTAGGTATTGTAGTCAACAATACTTGTTATGAAAATAGGTCTTGACGCTGTGGTGCTTGTGGTTGAATAGGCCACAATGCCCGTATGTGCAACTTGGATAATTCTGAAGATATTAATTGATCACTATTACTAATTGCAAATGATAATGTTAGAAGTTTAAATTCATTAAGTACAGGTGGGTTAAAATTTACAATAAGCTAACATATATAGTCAATTAATAATACTAATTGTTGATTTTATGTATTGTACATAGTGAATAAAGATAAGACTCGCCGCTGTGATACTTGTGGACAAGTAGGGCATAACGCTCATATATATGACTCTAAAAGTAGTTCATAAATATAGGTGAAGCAGTTATATATTCAAATGCTAATTTGTTGAATTTATGCATGTTTATATAGTTATTGCAAAGTTGTGTCTATTTGCTTTTTTTTTTTTTTGGTATTAAGGTAACCTCTTTGGTCTGGGAAACTTTTTATTAGAGTATAAATGAAGTTTTATATGTAATTACAACAATGGTACATCAAGCCACACATGCACCTTTTGAGTGCCTATTTAAGTAGTCC